TATTCCTTTTTTCCCGAAAAAAACACAAGGCACGCGCGGACAGGCTACGGCGCCTGGCTACGGGGCTCTAGGGTTGCACGCGGCGGTGGCGGCGCCAGACTCCCGCGGTGGCCGCCCTCCGACGCGGACGGGCCCCGGCGGCTGCTAGCCCTTTACCCATGCCCCGTGCGCATCTCTGTCTCCCTCTCTCCCGATGCGAGCCGGCCAGGGGCTTGGGGGCCGCGGCGGGCGCTGGCGAGGAGCTGGGCGCCCTGCGCGAAGTGCTGGCTCGACTGGGCTGTGGAGGAGCAACCGCCGGCGTCGGAGCGGCTCAGCCGCAGGGCGACACGACGTGGAAGGGAGTGGAGCGCGACGAGGAGGAAGAGAAGGTCCTTGATGTAAATTTGCCGTAAGTTTTCGATTTATGGCACATGTTGTGGTTCTTGGACGAGATCTGTGGCTGGGGCTGCAACAATCCCGCCTGAATTTTAGCTTTTCGAAGAGGTAGTTTAATTGCTACGGTTTCTCAAATCTTGGGGATTTTTTTCTCACCATTTTCTATCACAATTTCTCTGTCCAAATTGGGTGAGCACGCCAATGCCATCATGGCGAACGGGAGGCTGCAGAAGCAGGCGTTGCTTCGCCGCGGAGCCTGTTCCTGGTAGCGGCGCCAGCGCCACACGCCGAGCTCAGCCCGATCGCGCGGCTGTGAGACGCGCACCACCGGCACAGCTACCAGCGCACGTCGTCCGAGAGCTTCCTCGCCGACGAGTAGCCGTCGTCGCCGGACGACCTTCTCAACGAGCCCAAGATGTCGTCGTGGCTGTACGACCTGCTCCAGTATATTGCATAGCTCGAGAGAAGAGTTCAGCCCTTACAGGTAATCCTTTTTTCCCGAAACCAACCATATTAGTCGTTTGTTGCATGAGTTAGAAACCTTAAACATCCTATATAATTCTTGAATTTTTATGATTGCAGACAGATGGGATAGAAGTATCTGCTTAAATGGATTTTCTCGGATAGCAAAATATCATGTTAGACTTCGAAAATAAAGCCTTGAAGCAACTGCTTGAGAGTCTGTCTCACGAGCATTTCATTAAACACTGTAAGTATTCCTCTTTCTTTCCCGGAGTTTCTTTGGTGACATATGTCTTATGTACTTAGAAATTATGATAGCAGTCAGGTTTCTGATATCTGAGTTTGGTGAATGGATGTTATATGTTAAAATTTTATTTTGAAAATGATTCTTGTGATGGAGCTGTAGATATGTTAGGAACCGATAAAAAATATTTTTTGTTCTAAACTAAGTGCCAACTATATGCCTACTGTTCACATGTTCTTATAATATCTTAGTTCTAACTAAAAACATAGAGGATTACCATATTTCATCAATATTTTTTTCATTCTAGATCAATATGTACCAGTGCCAGTGTGCAACACTACAACTTGACTGATATAAAAAAATACTAAATAATATTCATGTGTTGCAAATGTCAGAATTCCTTTTATTTGTGAACTCAATTTATTTATTTTTCATTCTAAGGTACTATAGAATTCTATATACAACTCAATTTACCGAAACCAAAAGTTCAGTATTCAGATGGGACAAGAGTAACTATCTCATGATCAATAATCCTGGTTTGTTCTAATTGTTCTGAATTTCATTGCATGACTATGATGAATCCTTGAGCTACATATCAGTACTCACTTTTGGGGTCTGTCTATATAAAAGAAAAATAAGTAGAAGGAAAGAGGAAAAAGATATACCTCCCTTGCATGTTTTTTAAGATCCTACTATGTGGTCCTCCTTGACTTCCATGCTTTGAAGTCTAGTTACAGATTCAGTTACTAGCATAGCTTATAGCTAACACAGATAACATATGTTTTTGGCTTAATTTTGATGCAAGGTATGCCAATTTACGAGTCTGTTAAATTTGTATTTGACACATAATATCAAATTAGTTCTGTGCCAAACCAAATATTCACTTAAATCTGTACCCAGTTATCTTATTTTGGAGGAAACACTACTGCCCGCCGCTACTGCCGGCTGAAGATCCTCGCTGGTACTTCGCAATGTTGACGCCCGGAGATACACGCGATGCGCTAAGCGATATCACCAACATCGCAGGTACGCTTTCAGTATAAACAACACTTTCGTCTGAATTATGACATCTAAACTTTTGGATGTTTACACAGACACCTTTCATTCAGCGGGTTGAACGGAGAGATGTATCATTTTACTTTGCCAAACTCAAAGCACTCGAGTATTTGTAACCACATGTTTTCAGTCACGTTAATTCTGCAATGAATTTTAGTCAGTGAAGATAAATTTGTGTTTCTGAATTCTGATATTTTTCAGGGATTTATCACACAATAAGTTGGAGGGCTCAATTCCTGATGTTTTTTCACAGCTGCCATCTCTCATGGTTATGTGAGTTTTCTGATCCCTGATGACTTTCATGTCTTAGAGTTTAGCTATAAACAATTGTTAATACTAATCTAATCATTAAACACTACTGAAAAATGATTTTTAGACTGGTCCATAATTTTTAGGACTACGCTACTTGATTTATGGTGGAGGCGGGCACCTGCTAGATGCCCGACCTGCAGCACCAGGATCGCCACTGACATTGCTTGCTCTTTGCGAGTTTTACTGATGGGTACGATTTATGAATGACATGTGTCAAAAGCTGTTACGACGAGGAAATTAATAATTTAGCTTATTATCTGCCATGTACAGCTATCAACTTCACTGAGGATGAAATTCTTGGCGAACATTTTGAAGAGCCGTGGAAACGAATGTTTTGATAGCTTCTCTAAAGATCTCCAAGTCATGATTAAAGACTTAGGCAGAATGTAACTTAGATGGTTAATATGAGAAACAACTTTACTATGCCTTCTTATGCAAAAGTGTTTCTCGGATTGTAAACATGCTCAAATACAATTGTGTAAAAGTTGAACTATGAAAAAAAAATCATTGGTTGTTTTCATGATCCCCAAGATAAAGCCGTGGCGTTAGCACGGGCATTATACTAGTGTGTACAAATGTTTTTTTTGTTATGTATACAATCCATTTATTTGTATTTCGTCATACATAATTGTTAGCGGTTTGAACAGTCTTCCAATATGAAAATCTTGGCTCCGGCCGCCTCTAACCACAGGGCAGTGACGGACCGTCGAGAGAGTCCACCTATAGTTGTGACAGACAACGGCAGACGAAGAAAATACAGATACAGATAGCGAGTGTAGGCCAAGCACGTCTGGAAGAACGTGGTGCGAACCACACAACGCTTACTCGCTTAGCGACGACGAAAACCAGCAGTCTGTTCTTGTGGTTAGAAATGTACGCTAAAGATAAAAGAAGAGCAAAACACGCGTGCAAGCCAATTAAGACGACCTAGCTTATTGCCCTTTTCTTTTCCATCTAGAAGAAGAAGAAAGACCTAGCCAGGCACCGCTGCTTGTAGTTGTCCTCCACTGCATCTGCAGCGACCCAGAAAAAAAGCAACCCCTTCCTCTCCGATTCTTGCTGTCCTGTCCGATCCTCCCAATCTATGTTCTCTATTGCCTATATAAAAAAATTTTGAAGCCAAACGCCAATTCGACCGTTATTTTGACTCTAAATCTTATCGGATCCTTCTCAACGCTACGATCCTTCTTCTGAGATACTTCGGTTTGTAAACATCGTACGTGACAAATTGTGCGAAACATTCTCAATTTTTTACCACAGCCTCCACATATGATATCATCACATCACGAAAAATATCATAATTTTCAGACTTCGTTTGTTTTTTTTATAATTTAAAAACCAATCGGCCACACGTTCGTGGTCGTGTTTTCTGACTAAGATGTTCGAAATTTCTTTTTATTTCCCGGATAAGGCCTCACACCGGACTCAACGACATGAATATCATTTTTCTATTCATTTTATTTTATTATTTGAATCACTTGCGGTTCAAATTTGACTTATACCAAAAAAAATTCTAGAAATGCAATAAATTAATTAAATATAGCAAACAGATCCAGAAATATACCAAATTTTAACATGGAATACCACATGTTGTACGTGGAGAGTAGAAAATGTTTCAAGGTCAGAAGAGAAAAAAAAAGAAATTATTTGCCGAGTGCCACAGGTTTACCCTCGGCAAACATATTTCTTTGCCGAGTGCCACAGGTTTAGCACTCGGCAAACATATTTCTTTGCCGAGTGGCTCCCTTTGCCGAGTGTTTTTTTTTTTGTCTCTTTTGCTGAGTGTATTTGTTTGTCGAGTTTTCCACTAACGGACACTCGGCAAACGTACTAACGGACGGCACACGTACTAATGGATGTGGACTTTGTCGAGTGCCTAGTTTTTGCCGAGTGTTTTTTTTCTCGTTTGACGAGTGCCCAACTTTGCCGAGTGTTTTTTGCCTATTTTACTGAGTGCAATTATTTTTTCGAGTGTTTTTATGACAGTACTGGGCAAATAGCTTCTTTGCCGAGTGCCCGATAGAATGCAATAGGCAAACATTTTAGCACTCTGACAAACAACCAGTTTCCGGTAGTGGTTGTTACCATAAACATACACCTTATAATTAAGTAAACAAAAAGACAGTACAGGAATGTACAGTAAGCTTTTGTTAGGGGATGAGAGGCAGAGGCAATAATCGAATCGATGATGACCACACTGACACACGCCTGACCGCTTCTACACGGAAGGTCAAGTCGGCAGCAGATGACGACGGAGGGAGTGCGCGTGGGCCTTCACGCAGATGCCTGACCGCTTCTACACGGAAGGTGGGCCTTCACGTGGGCCAGTACGAAGTTGCCTGACCGCTTCTAGATCTTTCCAATTCCGACGACCTCAAGTATGTTGACCTCAAGTATCTAGATCTTTCCAATTCCAACTTGATCTGCAGTATCCTTTGCATCCACCTACTATAATAATAACACTCTCACTCCAGGACGGATCCACCCGACTCCAGAACTGATCCTGCCATTCTCTTCTACCATAGCGACATTATTGTCGATGGTTGCCACCATGCATTGCCTAGCTGCTACCATGCTCGTGTTGCTCTGCTGCTGCTGCTTGTTCCTCGCCACGCAGCAGCAGCAGCAGCAGCAGCTACAGCCAGCCGCCGGTGGTAACAGAGAGAGCCCGAGCTGCATACCACACGAGAGGGACGCCCTGCTGGCATTCAAGGACGGCGTCACCAGCGACCTTGGCGGCGTCCTCAGCTCGTGGCGGCGAGACGGTCGCCACGACGAGCAAGACTGCTGCAGGTGGAGAGGCGTCCGGTGCAGCAACCGAACTGGCCACGTGCACGAGCTTCGACTTGGAGGTGGAGGCACCTTCCAACCAGATTTGGCCGGCCAGATAAGTCCTTCTTTGCTTGCTCTGGATCACCTAGAGCACCTTGACCTCAGCAGGAATGATCTAGCAGGGCCAACGGGTCGTCTTCCCGAGTTCTTGGGTTCTCTAAAGAATCTCAAGTATCTTGACCTCTCTGGCATACCGTTCTATGGTGGCCTACCTCCCCAACTTGGCAACTTGTCAAGGCTACAGTATCTAGATCTTTCCAACTTATACTATGGAGGCATGAACTCGACGGATCTCTCATGGTTAACACACATTCCTTCCATACAATATCTTAACTTGAACAGAGTGAACCTCAGCACAGTAGCGGATTGGCCTCGTGTCATGAATATGCTTCCTTCTTTGAGGGCGCTCCATCTTTCATTCTGCTCTCTTGCAAGCGCAAACCAGTCACTGCCACACCTGAACCTTACATATCTCGAGGAGCTGGATGCCTCCCTGAACTCCTTCCACCATCCATCCAATGGTGACCAGCTGGTTCTGGAACATAACAAGCCTTAGATTCCTTTACCTCAACTACACTAGTATGTACGGTCAATTTCCGGATGCTCTTGGAGACATGACATCCCTGCAAGTCCTTGATCTTTCATATCTTTTTGATTATCATGATGATGACAAGAACATGCGCAGCATGACCATGGATCTGAAGAACCTATGCAATTTGGAGGTCCTGAACCTTGAATGCACTCTCTTATATGGTGACGTAGCTGAGCTGTTTAGGAATCTACCTCGATGTTCACCCAACAAATTGCAAGAATTGGACCTCGGTTCAAACCATTTAACCGGGATGTTACCAAGATGGATAGGGCAATTCATGAGCTTGGTCATTCTAAACTTCAACTGGAACAAGATCACAGGATCTCTCCCAACATCTGTAGGACAATTTACTGGTTTGCAGATCCTTGACCTCTCTTTCAACAACCTAAACGGACATGTCCCATATGAGATTGGAAAGCTTAGTAATCTGACCTATCTGGATCTAAATACAAATAAACTAGATGGCACGATAACCGAGGAACACTTTGCTAGTGCAAGGAGCTTGCAATATATAGACTTGTCATATAATGCCCTCAAGATTGAGATCAGCTCGGACTGGCAACCACCATCTACATTAAAGTATGTATCCTTTGCATCCTGCCAGATGGGCCCACTGTTTCCTGGGTGGCTTCAGTGGAATGTGAGCATCACCTATCTTGATATCTCGAGTGCAGCTATAGCTGATAGGATTCCACAACGGTTCTCCGATGCCTTTTCAAATGTTTGGTTCATGAACATCTCCAACAATCAACTCAACGGAACTTTGCCGGCTGATATGGGCTCCATGTCACTTCTAGAACTCTACCTTAGTTCAAACAAATTAACTGGTCAGATACCCACGCTGCCACCAAACATACATACCTTGGACTTGTCCAATAACTTCTTGTCAGGACCTCTGCCCTCTGCTACTAGATCCGCCAAACTAAGACAGCTTTCTCTGTTCTCCAACCGACTCACTGGTCATATTCCTGAATCTTTTTGTAAATATCAGCAATTAGTTGTGTTGGACTTATCCAACAATTTTTTGGAGGGAGAACCGCCGTTGTGCCTCGGGGTAACGGAATATATGGAATTTGTAGCCTTAAGTAACAATAGTTTGTCAGGAAAGTTCCCGTCTTTTCTGCAAAAATTGACAAATGTGCACTTCCTAGATTTGTCTTGGAACAAATTCTCTGGAAGATTGCCAATGTGGATTGGAAGCTTAACATCATTAAGAGTTATACGATTAAGTCACAACAAGTTCTTTGGCAGCATTCCAATGAACATCACAAACCTTTCTTGCCTTCAGTACATGGATCTAAATAACAATAAGATATCAGGCTCTCTGCCGATCTACCTATCAAATCTTAAATTTATGACAAACACATACATGATGGGTTGTTATGATAGAACTGAGATAGTTTTATCTCATCTTAATAGTTTGTCTACGGTCTGGAAGGGCACGTGTTGAGCTATGGTACCATTCAAAGAATTGTGGAGACAAGTATGACGAGCATTCATTTATCTTGGAAGGGGCAGGAATTGTACTATGGTTCCATTCAAAGAATTGTGGAGACAGGTATGACGAGCATTGATTTATCTTCAAACGACTTAACCGGTGAAATTCCGGAAGAAATAGTTGCTCTTGTTGGGTTAGTGAATTTGAATCATCAAGGAACCACTTGACCGGAGTTATTCCAAAGAAGATAGGGAAATGCGATCACTTTGCAATCATTGGACCTCTCGAGGAACATGCTTTCAGGGGAAATACCAGCCAGCCTGTCAAATCTGACGTTCTTAAGTTACTTGGAATTATCATACAACGATCTTACAGGAAGAATTCCATCGGGAGTACAGCTTGATACCCTGTATGCAGGGTATCCATCTATGTACATTGGCAACATCGGTCTTTGTGGACATCCTCTTCAAAACAATTGCTCGAGTGAGCGTCATGCACCAAAGCAAGGTGGCCTGGGAAGAACTGAAGAAGGTTCTGGGATACCATTCTTTTATCTTGGACTCGGGTGCGGCTTCGTGGTTGGTATATGGATTGCATTTGGTGTTTTGTTGTTTAAGAGAAACTGGAGAATTGCTTGCTTTCGATTCTCGGACAAGTTGTACGACAAAGTATATGTCCTTGTTGCTACATGGGCCAGAGCAAGACAAACACAAACTGATTAGCAAGTATGAAGCAAAGGCGATGGTCGGCGTTTCAACTAAAATTAGCCAATGCATGCATGTATGAATAATGGAAGTGGGAGAGAAGTCTTTTCAGGAGTGCTTTGAATTTTGTTACTACCAGTATTACATATTGCCATGGTTTTCTTTACGAAATGAAGATTTGTGTGTCCGTGTTTACTCTTAAATCTTGTAATAAACTGAGAACCGACACTTGATCATTGGCCAACATTAGTGTTTGTTGTACAAGATAGATATTAGTTGTTAGTATATAGATAACATAAGTATGTTGTAAACTCTGGCTGATCTTCAGGATGTTGGTTTGTAGTCTGTACAAGACGTTCGCCTGGTCAGCTCAGGGTGCTATATAACACGTAGACGCGGCCTTTACAGAGGTTAACACGCTTCACCAAGTTTTACAGTAATAATTATTTCCTTATGATGATGAACATTAAGACATGGTCAATCAATTCCATGTAGCACTTCACTACATCATTGGTCCCTGTGGGCCATGGTAGTCGGATCCGGCAACCTGAATACGACCTATCGTTGCATGTTCCACGCTCATCGTCCACATTAGGGCTTGTTTGGCTGCACCTGTATCCACCTTAGTCCACGTGTGTTGAAGTGGATTGAGGTGAATACAATGTGCAGCCAAACAAGGCTTGGCATGCCGTGGAATTTCAGTGTACCTAGGCGAGGGATGATATGAATCAAAATATCATGGTCTCATCTGCAACCAGTGTTACATATAAGCAACATTCACTTACCATACACATTGAACAAGAAAGCAGAGAACAAGGAGAGCAAATTTCTCAGAAATTGAAGAGCTCAAGACGTGAGCACCGCTTAACTGGTGGAGCAGTAGTATACTACTGCACCTGCAGTACCGCTACCTACAAACTGGAGAGCGCTGCTAGTCAAATCTCAAATGGGGTGCAAAATGACTTGGGGATAGTACTCCAGGCACATTTGAGATGATGACTTTTTATGATCAGGCAAATAAAGAAAATAAAGTTTTCATTAAAAAAAAAGTTTATATATAGTCACCAGCATGATCTTTGTTACGTACCATCGCAAGGGAATAATCATGTTCAATCTGCCCACACTCGACTCAACACAAAACTGCTAATATGGTCATAATAAAAAAACGAAAACTGAACCACGAAATGACGATGGTCCGGTTCTGGTTCTCTTCATCATAGACGAAAAGCAACACATAAGGCAGTCTAAGATGATAAACAAATGATTTATTCACAGCTCTAAACAAGTTATAAACTAAATCAGGCACCACCAAAAAACAAGAACGCAACTTCACCAAAAGGCTACAGATCGAACTGTGTAACCTTTATAGAGTAAATCTTAGCAATTCCAACTTTCCAACAACCAGCGGCCACTTGCAGGTTGCTAGCTGCAACGGCTGCTGCTGCATCTCTCCCTTCCATAGCTACCTTTTAGGCTTTTACATACCACATGCTGGGACTTGGACGGCGCTGGCGTCGTCGCCACCCTGACCGGCCGTGGCCCGCGGGGCTATTTTTTCAGTGGAGCGAGACGACGACGTCTGCGAGCCGGCTTTCATGCATGTACGGCGCCAGTGACGACAACGCCCTGGGCCTGTCGTCGGCCCTGTCCGCCCGCAGGGCAGTTTTTCCAGCGGAGCCGGAGGGAGACGACTCCCGCGAGGCGGCTTTCACTGACGACAGCGCCGGGGACGCCAACGTGAGCCGCCAGTGCTTGACGCGCGGGGCGAGGTCGTCGGCGGGCCCAGGAGTACGTGGCGACGGTCCTCTTGACGGCGGCGGTCCCGTTGGTGTTGAGCGGAGGAGCAAGAGGAAGCCATGTGTGCAGTGTGCTGTGGGCCTAGCGCGCTTAGCTTCCTCGGCGTTGGAGGGGGGAGGCGACGTACCTATGCAGTAGAGAGGCATGACGGTGTGGTGCGGGCGACAGCTGCTGGCTTTGTGTAGTGAAGGCGTGAAGTAGGAGGATGTCTCACCTCAGACAAACGTGGTCGTCACGATTACTATTGTGCTGAAATTTTATTCTGGGCAAAGGAGTACAGCTCAGGGAAAGCATTCAAATGTATCTGCCCATTCCATATGTCCTGCCAAAAGAGAGTGGAAGCCCCATTGTTTAAACTGACATTTAAATTGACAGTTGACGATCCCTTGAACGTGTATAAGAGTTTATTAAGTGCATCTCTCTCCAGCAGATGGATCCCTAATTGGCTACTTCACGTGAGTAGGCAGCTTGCCATTTCTGTAGTGCTTCTCCCAAATCAAGTGAACCCATGGAACATCTAACTGACTGAAAAACTTATGAAGATGCATCAAAAGAAGTGCCTCATTTGTGTTTTTAGGTTTATGACCCCCAAACCACCTTCAGTTTTAGGCGAGAGGGAGGCCAAGGTAGGTAAATGGCATAGAACCTTCTTGAGAAGCCAAAGTTGAATTTAGTTTGGAAGCACTACCAATAGACTACAGCACCGCTCCAAATATAGTTTTGACAGCTATATTACATTATAAGTGAGCATCTAAAAAATTAAATTCGCTTTTTATGAAAGTACTTTTTAAGACAAATGTATGCATAACTAAATACTTTTAAAGTTATATATAATCAAAGTTTTTAAAATATCTGACTTAAATATTTCATAAAAAAAGGTCAAGACTTTGGAAACGGGAGGAAGCATGTATGTATTTCTTCTAATATTAAAGAAAGAACGTTTTCTTGGTTTGGTTCGTCCTTTGCTTTTAGAACCTTTTTTTGTGTGTCTCTCTCGTTTGATCTAACCTGAATACGAATACTAATCCTAATCCTAATAAAAAACCCTAGAATAGAAATTTGGATTCGTCTCATTCGTCTGATCTAACCTGAATACGAATCCTAATCCAAATAAAAAACATAGGAATAGAAATTTGGCTTCGTCTCTCTGGTTTGATCATCTAACCTGAATATGAATCCTAATTCAAATCCAAATCAAAACATAGGAATAGAATTTTGGCAAATATAAATTAGACCAAGCCAAATCAAAAGGGGGTGGGAATTTAAATCAAAAGAATCTTACTATTACTATTTAGAAGCCCAAACAGAGCCACCACGTTAATTCCCACCAGATGTGCGAGAGAAAAAATATAAATCCTAAAAATTCCATGGCTGACACATTTATATACTGAATGAATGTTTGTGATAGAACAACTGAATGACTGTTATAGATCATTGCATATACTTTTTCACCTAACAAACCACCAAACAGATCCCAAATTACCATAGGAAAATGCAATCCCCACATCCAAAATATCTACAACTCAAAAGGGGTCAAAGGCATCACCTCAGCCAATTTAATTAGCTTCTCGATGGTTTCATAAGCCGTTGTTGCCTTGCAGCGGTCGGCCAAAAGTCCCACAGCTGCGCCTTCTAAAAACATGTAGCATTAGATGCTATCAGTATTCTTAACAGTTTAGAAGAGCCTGAAGCAAGTTAATTGATTTAATATAAACTAATTTGCCTGGCCAAAAAGATTTATTGGTCTTTAAATAAGCCTGAGGGCAGTAGTACCATAAAAAACAAACCAAGCTATCAGGATTACAGTTGACGCTACAACTTTTTACAAAAGATCAAAGATTAACAAGCAATGAAATAACTGGAGGAAATTCCTTACTGAATCTACTATCTTGTACTGAATTTTCCACCAGCACCTACAGCATCTATCAGAAAGTTACTTGCATTGCATTATAGAACAGGAGGTAGGTGACAAGCAAACTAATTTCAATCCTGCTCACAGGAATTATATGCCCAAACCATCATTCACAGAAATCCAAACAAAAACTACAAATAGACCCAACTGCACAGTGCACAAAAAGGCATCGGCAATCACAAAAAATTCTAACAATCATAGTCGGATGGGATTTCAGATACCAATAATCTGCGGAGACAGATCTCAGCAGGGGCCTAGCGCACACCAGACTCCTCCAAACCTAGAAATTTGAAAAACCTACAAGCACATGCATCCACCAGATCAAACCCCTACCAGCGAAACCCTAATGAAAATCACAAACAGCAGCAGGGGCACACCGCCGCTGGTGCTATGCGGTCTGGCCATGCAGGGAGGGCATGTCTCCGCCCTGCTATGCCTATCCGTGCCGGGAAGAAGCGCGCGCCACCAGCCGCTATGCCCTCCCGCGTTGGGGGGGCGCCTTGCCTGCCTCGCCCAACCCGCCCCAAGAGTAGGCAGGTGCCCCAGCAGGGGAGGCATGGGACCTGAAGTATGCGGGACGGGGGCGTCAAGGTGGCTATGGGTGGCGGCAGATAGGGAGGGTGTGTATAGTGGATGCGAGTGGCGGTGGATGGGAAGGGGCAACGCAGTAGATGGATGTGTGTAGACTGTGGGAGGGAGGCTGGTGGATTAGGTTTAGAAAATTTCTTTTCTTTTTAATTTTTTATTACAAGCCATCACAGTTTAGAGCGTTCTATCACCTCGTATACAAACCGTCTCAGATAAGGACTTTCTATGACAATTTCTTATAACATCATTTTGAAACCATCATGTATAAGGGTATTTCTTGTAGTGACATGTCACTGAGATGGAAGTTGCGTGTCAAAACTGCTCAACGTCGGTCAAAACAGCCTTGCCCCCGCCAAGGTGCTAAAAGTGAACGGTTTTAACAGTTGGGATACCGGTACTAGACGGTTTTGTAGTTGAGGGTTAAAATTAGACCGACACAATAGTTGAGGGACCAAAAGTGGACTTAATCCTAATTTTTAACTAGAGGTCCCTGATGGAGCCTCCACGTTAATGCTCATAAGACTCGATAGGAAAATAGTATATAGATCCTAGAAAATCTCACAAAATTTGAAAACATCTGGCCATCAATTCGATATAACCTAATCACCATTCATAATAATATAATAGCTCTCGGAACTATTTGATTTTCTAAATAATTACCCACCTTTGCTATTGCGTAGAACAATATGAAGTAACCAATGACTCTATGTTTAAACTACCC